TTTTTTGTCCTTACGGCGTCAAATACTATTGATTTTTCTATGACTTATGCACTTGTGCATACAATGTACGTGCAATATTGAAATCTTCAATTTGATTAAATTTGTTTTAATTACCGTATGACCGTTCACTTCCTGTGCTGTTTCAATTACGCAAATTATGGCCTGTGTATCATCGAGTTTATGATTATAACCGAAAGGTCTCTCAAATATTGCCATTGGTCATCAAAATAGTGTACTTCGAATATGGATCCATGTTCAAAGCCTTTAATCCATTCCAGGCGTGCTTACGCAGCCAAACCCTTTTATCGGTTTTATTTTCACAGTTTTATCAGTATTTAATCAAACAATTTCAGGAATCGTTAAATTGGAAAAGTTGATTGGAAAACCTGCTGACCAAAATGTACAATCACATCTGCGAGGAAATTGCTGTGAACCAGTGATGCCAGATATTCTCTGTTAAAAATCCCACGAAAATGGGGAAAAAATTCCTCAATTACCTCAATTACATCTTGAAAATTTATCCCACAAAATTCCCAACGAATTTAAATATACACATGTTTCAGTAGTAAAGACGTAAAATTCATATAAAATAATAATAATAGATTGGCGCTGACACATATTATGTGCTTCTCCTCCAATTTGTGGGGTGCCCCTTGATGCTGTCACACAAGTGGAAGGGACCCACAGTTTTACGCCGACTCCGAATGGCGAGTGTATTTTTATGAGAAGCTGTTTTTCATGGCAGGAATACATTCGGAGATTTGCCATTGCCTGCTGGGGGCCGACCGCTGTTAAGAAAAAACCCCTTTTTCCGCATTTTTTTCACTCATTAATTTTTTCACTTCCATTTTTTTCTCACTCACTAAGGGCCTAAAAGAATTTTTTGGTGACTTAAAAATTGAAGCACATTCATGTGGAATTTGACATTTCATCAGATAATTTGTTCTGCATTTTACATGAAACACCAGTTACAACTGAAAAGATTCTTTCTTACTCAGCGCTTGAATTGGTTAACGTAAGAAAATTTTCGAAATTGTCCTTATACTTTTTAACAATAATATACCATTTCATTCCACATCACAGAAAGATTAATTACGTAAGTATGTAGAATATTCTTAAATTTGGATCAATTATGCAACAATAACTGCATCAAAAGAAAATCCCTTATTTATTTGAAATGTCCCTTTTTTCCCTTTTAATAATTTTTGTCGCAAAATATCCCTCAAATAGGGAAATTACCCACAATCTGGCATCACTACTGTGAACAATTCTTCATATGCTGCCTCTTCTAGCGAAAGTCACAATTAATGGGTCTATTACGGATAGCAACGCAACCACGGTTCGGTTGCCAACTGGCAACACAACTGGAAAGAAAATTTGTATTACGGATGTCAATTATCGTCAGTTGCTGTAGAGTTATCAATAATCGAAATATGACAGTTGGACAACCAGCAAGCGGCTCTAAACAAGCTGTGCGATTAAAATTAAGTTCATCACAATTATTTGTTTAAGAGGAAGAGAAGTGCATGAATGCGGCCTCCATCAGGCCACATATAATAAATTCCAATCCTTTAGAGCTACTCGTGCACTGTAAGCAAAAGTTAATACTTTCAAGGTTTTTATTTTATTATCGTTTTGTGTTCATTTTCAAAGCATATTGAGGACTTCCAAAAGAAGCTGCAGTATAATTGGTTAATAAACAGATGAAGCACTTCGTTCAACTCCAATACCTCTGCTCATAAAAGCTTGTGCCCCTTTCGATTTCTCGCAGAAGGAAGTGCCAGAAAACTATTTCCGCAACTTCCTGAACAGCCCTAATGAGACAGACATTCTGTGTGGTATATTTTGCAAATTGGCGGCCACTGGATTCTGCAAAATAAAAATGTATTTCTGGTCACCCCCTAATTTTAAGTAAGGAATTAGCACAAGTGGCAACATTGTTATTAATTGTTCAGCGAAGAATACGCTTGATAAGAAGTATTCACGCAAATTAGGTAAACGAGGGATTTTACTGGCAAATTTTCAAGTAAACACCTTGTAAAAAACTCGCGGAGTTTCATTCCATTAAAATGACCATCGGAACTAGTGCTTTGCGTACGCAGCTAATGGCCCTGGCCAACTTTTCTGGCACTCACAAAGAGCAAGCAGACAAGTACCGGCAATTGTTAGTAATGGTGCTCAATAACACTGGGAATGAGCTGGTGGATACGCTTAAGCTCTTCGTAGAAGCTATTGTCAATGAGCATGTCAGCTTGGTAATTTCACGACAAATACTTAATGATGTCAGCAACTCTTTGTGCAAGTTGTCCGATGATATTTCGCGACAAGTGTCCCACTTCACGTTGGAAAAGGTGCAGCCACGAGTCATATCCTTTGAGGAGCAAGTAGCCGGTATTCGCCAGCATTTGGCTGATATCTATGAGCGCAATCAGCAATGGCGAGATGCTGCCAATGTTTTAGTTGGTATTCCACTGGAAACAGGGCAAAAACAATATCCGGTGGGCTACAAACTAAAAACTTACCTTAAAATAGCCAGCCTCTACTTGAAGGATGATGATTCTGCACAAGCAGAGTTTTATATAAATCGCGCTTCTTTGTTACAGACAGAGACCACTGATGAAGAATTGCAGGTAAGGGTATGACTTACATATGTACATATATGATAATTTTCATAATTCAATGTGCTCTTTCTTTAGGTGCTCTACAAAAAGTGTTATGCCCATGTGCTAGACTACCGTCGTAAATTTATTGAAGCAGCACAACGTTATAACGAGCTATCGTACCGCAAAACGATGAGTGAAAGCGATCGCATGGATGCATTGAGGAGTGCTCTTATTTGCACCGTACTAGCTTCTGCTGGACAACAGCGCTCACGTATGCTAGCCACACTTTTCAAAGACGAACGTTGCCAACAATTGCCAGCATATGCTATATTGGAAAAAATGTATTTGGATCGTATTATAAGACGTTCAGAGCTCAAGGAATTCGAAGCTCTCTTGCAGCCGCATCAAAAAGCTATTACAGTTGACGGTTCTTCTATATTAGATCGTGCGGTATTTGAACACAACTTGCTGTCCGCTAGTAAATTGTATAACAATATTACATTTGAAGAATTGGGTGCACTGCTGGATATAACGGCTGCGAAAGCTGAAAATATTGCTTCGCAAATGATTACCGAAGAACGTATGAATGGACATATAGATCAAATTTCAGGACTTGTTCATTTCGAAAGCCGCGAGGTGCTGCCCCAATGGGATCGTCAAATTCAATCGTTGTGCTATCAAGTGAATTCTATTATTGAAAAGATTGCAGCGGCTGAGCCAAACTGGATGACGAATACATTGGATTCTATGAATTGATTTGACTAGTCTTAACGGAGATTCTATAAATACTTTTTACTTGTGTTTGTAACTGCGATAATACCGCTTTGTTTTGAAGGCATCGCTTGTAGCATTGAATTTAATAAAATTGCAAACCTTAATACCAGAATTTTTAAAAATCCTCTTCATAAATATTTTTTTTTGTTGGGTTTAAATGAATGGCAAGGACTAGCTTGTCCACTTAAAAATGGCACTATATTATGGAGAATTTAAAGGGATAAGAATCCTCAATGCCTTATACGTACGCTTCAACGAAGTGCTCGGCAAGACATGGGTCCGAAAAACATACGTAGGTCCAAAGGTAGGAGGGTGTCAAGGCTTGCGGAACTGTGCATCTTTAATTGAGGCATTGGGCCGGTGAATCAGACTATTCCGTCCCTCAAGCCAGCTAAAAAAAAAATACCACAAGAACAACACGGATTGCTGTATTTCCTTTCCAATCGCTAAGATTACCATTTCTTTACGGACGGACCTAAACTGGCAATCGGTGGAGTTTTGTTGAGGAGCTCGTGTTTGAGTCGCCGCCACACAAGCTCCCCGACTGTTGCAGCATTTTGCAGACCGATATCTACTACTGCTACTGAGTCTGTAGCAGCTCTAAATATTTTCCACGTTAATCTACGTGAAATCTCGCGAATCAACCAAGCTAACCCAACCTAGGCGTCGAACCTCTGAGGTAGATTAAAAATACGAAAATTTCAATTTTATATTTTCATTTACTTGATACACCAGCCTTAGGCTAGATATAATCTTATTGGCTGTGGATACATTAAAATAGCAAATTTACAATAGATACATCCACTTTTGTTCGATAATTCACACTTGTTACACAGCTAAATATTTTATTGTATATTTGTATGAATGTATTTGAAAGTTTTTATTACTAAATAGTTGTTTAATGATTCTTTCTTTTAACAATTCAAAAATGTGCTATTAAATTAATTATATATCAAACGTAGTTTGAACACCGATGCACTGTTTTATATATTATCAAACAAATCTAAAGAAACTTTCAACTAGTCATAGTTATGTACATAACTACATATGTACTGCTGCTCCTTTTCTTTTCCTTATGATATTTATGAGCAGGAAATGCATAAACAATATTTCGTAAGATGCATTTAGGTTTTTCATTAACTATTTCATTTTTAATAAAGCAAACGTGCGTTATAAACTAAATTAAAACAACTTGCGTATTCATATATGTAGTGTGGATGACCAAGCAATGACGAGAAGGTACCCGCTCAGTTTGTGCTCCCTAAATTATTTACAGTTTTACTAAACTAGAATCTACGCAAGTAAGCGTTTTCCCTAACGCTCTAATATACGCGATATCATCCTTGCGTATTCGATGCCGTCGTGTCTTCATTCAGATCTAATTGTGCCAGAGTACGTACTACTGCACCACGATTCATTGGTGTCAGGCCTTGGCATATGCTTACCACAGCATCCAAAGCAACATGGGGGCAATCCTGTAATAAGCAAAATAAGTTAAAAAAAAGGACTTAGTCAGTGAAATGCGGGTAACTATATTTATGTATGCACTTACCTCAAGCATTTCGTTAATTTTCGAGATAATCGCATCTTGCTTAACGGCATTTATGTTCTTTGTAACAACAGAGTCTGGCCGTTTTTGTTCTTCATACCAATGCACCATCTCCTCGTTTTTATCCCAAATATACGACTGCAAAACAAAGATGGCATAAATCGCGCGATATTTTAATATGTATATTATACAGGTTAGTTTGCCCTAAATAAATAAACTTACATCCGTGGCGCCTCGATCTTCAACCAACCACCGACGCAACATTTGTTTTGCTTGTCCCACCGAAAGGCTTTCCTGTGCTCTTATTATTTTCTTAATAAACACATCTTCCAGTAGCAAACGACGCAGACGCCAGTACAGTAAACGTCGAGAATCGCGCCATGGTATAATCTCGCTTATACATTCCTTCTCCAGCATTCGTTCAGGCGTGTCGTGTAGATCGGCAAAATGTACTGCCACTGTGTGATACACGTGCATGAGTTGCGAGATGCGTGTCTTTAGTTTTTCTTCAATTAAAGCGGCTTTGATTTTGTCACCAGCAGTATTTAGTTCTTCCAGTTCTTTTTGGAGCTGCATATAAGATTTAAAGGAGCAAATGCTTTAATGTATGTAAAAGTCACCAACATAAATACAATACGCTCTAATGATGTCAAAATGAATGTATAATAATGTGGCTATTCCAGCTGTCTGGTTATCTAGTTGTTTGGGTTCGGTTTACAACAATAATAAAACACTTGAGTATAATAATTTTTAGTCAGGTTAATTAATAACCAAATACAGTATAAATTGAATTGAAAATGGCGCTGTAAGCTTTTTTGTTCACCAATTAGTTTTTATATCTCTATAACAAAGAAACAAAAGATAAATGATACGCAGTCAGGGGAGGAAAAGTACTAGGGGATGCTGAAATCCTTCCTTTTTCATGTTGCTTTTGCTATAACCCCGTCATGCAAAGTTAAAGAGAGTATGTACGCTTGGCGGCTTATGGTCTAGCGTTACAAAAAAAAAAAAAATGAAAGAATGAATGTCACTTGGGGACTTTTGCTTAGATTACCAAGATATACTTATGTATGAAATTAAAATTTTATGGCAAACATTTAGTTTATTTTCTTCTTTATATTACCACAATTGTCGTTGTATCCAAGCGATTTATCGTCTTTAGTAAATCTTTTTCTTTGTACTTGATTTCGACAATACCCTCTGGCTCCAACACACCACCGCGTGCCTCTGGATCGGCATAGGTTTCCATATAGCGTGGGTTAATTAGCGAATCCAAGACAGCCCAGGCGCCACCACGCAGCTCGGCATTTGGTGGCAGATATATAATAATTGGTTTTTTGTATTCGCGCAAACCATCCACAATGTACGCGCCAAATTTAATAATCTGCTCATACATGTCCTTCATACCGCCGGAGAAACCACGCCAATTTGCAAATATTATCAATGGGAGTTCCTCGCGGCCAAAGTCTTTAATAGCCTGTGCTGTCTTATAAGAAGAATCTGGATACCAGACTTGTCCGGCTTGTTGAAGTGTCTGAAAACGATTAATACGTTAATGTATTACGACATTGTATGAGACAATGCTCTGGTCGTACCTTCGCTTCAGAGTCTAAGTTAGCAGGATCGGCGGGCAATTCGACCTCAACTGTGCGCGTTTCAACAGCAATGACACCAACTGGTACGCCGCCTAGACGAGCCCGACCTGTGACAACGGTTTTCGCCCATGGCTGCATAATTTCTGCCCAGCTGTCACGATCAAAGAAACCATTTTCCCATTCACTTGAATTGGCTGCAAAAAAGAAGAGAGTAATTTATTTGTACGTCGAAAATACATACATATATTGAAGAAGAGTTGACAAATAGAACTTATTATGCTGTTAATTACCGGGATTCACGCGACCACCCAGCATCCACCTAGGATCATATGGCGATTTCGTTGGCATAAAATCTACTGAACGATCGATGCGATCGTTTGGCAATACAATCGGTACATCACAGCCGATGTATGCTGGAATGTATGAGAGCCATTGAAGAAGAGTATACACACCGTCGAGATCAAAAGCTGTGTGGGGAACGTAAAAGTTTAACATGATTCCATTTAATAAATATTAACAATAACAGACCTTCAGTCTTATGTGTGACACCATTGTTGTACATAATTTGTACACCACCTAATTGGCTGTTGGAAGCGTATACCTTGCGTCCAAGTAGCTATAGTCCAATAAATAGAAGTTAGCACATTTTTTCAAATATAAAAAAAAATCTCCCTGCTCACCTTATTCAGTGCTGCATAACCAGTTAGAATAATGTGCGAATTGTCAATCTGTATGACACGCTGACCCAAACGCACAACATACGAACCGATACCAATGGTACGGCAAGTCACCATAGACATGGTGACAATTTCGTTATACGCCTGCGATGTTTCACCGGCAATCAAACCGGCATAGCGCAAATTCTCTACACCCAAGCCATCTTCTTTGCCAATGATGTCGGTAATCTTATAACGTGGTTCGCCCTCATCTTCGATGAGTATTGCACGCACCGAATTCAAATTAGCAATTTTGCTGTAATCCTCCGTGGTCAAATAAATATACTTAAAACCCTTGTCTGGCTCTTCGGGATCTTCCCATGCTACCTTGAACATTGATTTCACCTCCTCTGCGAGACCGATACGCGCACCACTATTCACCGAAATGTAAATCTATTTCGGGTTGGAAGGCAAATACATAAGTTTATGATAAATACTAACTGTGCTGCTACTAACCCTAGGCACTTTTCTGCTGCGCGCCAACTGCGACGCTTTATTATAGACCACATCTTCTTTGATACCAAACGAACCAATCATATAAGTCAAGTCGTTGGCAATCACTATAATTTCTCGTCCATCTGGGTACTCGGGAGTGGCCAGCACAATGCGCCAGGCAACCATACCACACTACGTTTAGAAAAAACGGTGAAAATTAAAAATTAAAAAAAATTTGTCGTCACGCCTACATTATTCTCGCCAGGTAAACGCTGCATCTCAATGAGATTATCATCATCCAACACTAGCTCCATGCATTCAATTAAAATTTTTTCCGGTATTCTTATGTCGATGGTGGGACGTGCTTTCGAGTACTCCTTCCAGTGACGCTCTGTCATTTGACGGAACATGTCGGGTATATCGTATACATATGTTGTGCCGTTTTGTTGTGCCTGGAAACGTTTCTGTTGCAGAAAATCTTTGGTCATGTAGGGCGTGGAAATTGGATGACCATGAAGTGAGCCCAGTTTTTCGCCATACGCCTTAAACTTAATCTGAAACCAACAAAACAAAATTTATTTCATTTGCAATGTGTTGAGACATTACTCTTCGGTGTATTTTACTTACAATTCCCGTCTCTGGATCCGTGACTTCCGTGTACATAGCAATATCTAAGAAGTAGCCGGAGTCATTGGCTATGCACAAGCGTATGGCCTGCGTTGGCGCTTGTGGTGACTGTCGGATCAGCATTTTCAACTCAGCTTGCAGCACACGTAATTTCCACAGACGTGGACCGTAGCGCATTATCATTTTGGTGACAGATTCCTCAATCTTAGCTGGATCCATTATAACAGTTGGCACGAAGTTTAGGAAAATATGATTACAATCTGTGCGCTTGGCATGCGGATGCGAGAAGGCCACTTCCAATTCGTCCATTGATTCGAGTAACACGCGTTCCCCTTCGTTTTGTAGATATTCGAATGAAGCCTCTTTGGTGATGAGATCCGAATGTCGAATAATGGAACGTATGAAGAAACGATAGTCGGTGACTTCTTTGCCCTTCGTACCCTTGGCTCTACCCAGATAGAGGTGCATTTTTTGATTTGCTGTTGGTAAGGCTTCCAATTCATAGGATTTCATGCGATTAAGTTCAAGTTGGAAAGCACATGCTGGCTCCAAGTGGCGGTATATTCTATCTTCTTCGAAATTGTCGCGTGCGCGGTATGTGAAGAACTTAGGGAATTGACGTCTATACAAAGATTTTAAAAAGATAAATAGGTAAAACTATGAAATGGAAACATGTCGCTCACTTCTTCAATGCTGCAAATGTGATGCGACGTATGCGGCGCTGGAAGAGTTCATCACGGTGAAGTTTACAAAAACTACCAAAAATGTGCGCCATTTGTACATCGTCCATATCGCCATTGTCCCGCACTGCGACACTTACGATGTGTATGGGTTCGGTAGACTTGGCCTCTTCCACAGCATTTGCGCGTGTAACGGGGTCCGAAAGGGAGACATTGATGGAGGTGCTACAACGCCCGTCGGAAATGGAATCGACGGCTTCGACGGCTTCCAAAATCTAAGCAAAGTAAGAAGCAATGATGTGTTTTTTAGGTTAGAACACACAAAGAACAATGCTATTAGACATTTACCTTAGCGCTCACAAAGGCAGGCGATGCATAATCCTCTAACAAATCCAAAATTTCATCCGAATGCATTTCGAAATGTTCGAATGAGCCGAAGGCAGCCATGCAGCCGGTACGCATGAAGGATGAGCCAAGTACTTTGGTCACAGGCTCACCGCTGTCTTGCACCATGCGGGGGAATAGTCTGTATTGGCATACAAAAAAAAAAAAAAAAAAATTCCAAAAAAAACCATTTGTCTAACTAAGCAAACAGTGAAGTACATTACCTGTTAGGATGAGCGGTAGGCAGCAAAAACTGAAAGTGTACAAGTGGCAGCCCACCTGACAATTCCAAATGTTGCAAGCAAGTGAGCTCGTAGGATGTGTAGGCGCGCCTCACGTAAACCTCGAGCGCAGCATTGCAAACTTGACGATTCGTGTGATAGAAGAAATCGTGCAAAATATCAAATATCGACGTTTCGGACAATATAAGCCGCTGCAGATTCTCCGGATGGAAGTCGTGGCCGTACATATCCACCGCCGATAAGAAAATGGATTCCATTTGGTTGTGACGTAACTCGTAAGCCGGTTGATGTGCGGCAATGAGCACTTGTCGGCAGCGCAAAGCGACACGCGAATGTTCGGCACGATTCAGCGATGTCAACTCACTCAGTGTATTGGCGAGCTCATCGGTTAGGCCCGGCTCAAATGACCATAAATGATCGATGAGCAGCGTCACCAGCAAATTCTTCTTCGAAACTTGCGCATGCGAAAAGATGGTGTTGACGACCTTTTGCATATCGTCCTTGCTGTTCTCACGTACCAACCCCACGCACTTGTCATAGCTGCCATGTTGGAACTGAGATTCGACTTCATAGTATTGGCGCAACAATTCATGTACGACAGCCTTCATGCGTCCCCGAATGCCGTTGCGATAGCGCTGCACCAACTGTACAATACTCTGAGTGGTTAGGAAGAACACGTCGCGGTCGGCACGTTTTTGCAGCGTAGCAGCATGACTGTCGATGACAGCGGCAATTTGTTGCGATGGGAATTGTGCCAGCACACTGGTTATGTTGCGTTCATACAACGTCATCAATTTGCGTATCTTCTTCTCCACAGACACAGGTATGCGGCCCGATATAGAGGCGATCACCTCCTGCAATTCGAGCAGAGGCAATGAAGCATCGCGCAAGCTGGACATGAACTTTTCGATGACATCACGCAAACGTTGTGCGTTATACGGCTCAGGGAGGCAGTAACCGGCCAATGTATTCTCCAAAATTGCTTTGTACATGTTGTGCGCACGATTGAGCTTCTCAGGCACTGGCGAGTTGTCCGATTGTGGGAAGGGATTTTTGTATGGCTGTGCTTTAGTTACCAACGATGGATCATCTAATTCCAAATGACCCAGAAGTGAACCAGCCTCTAGCACTGCACCCGGACGACGCAAGAACGACACAGTGCCGGCTTCTTGGGAGGTGAGCGTCATAACCATCTTCATTACCTCAATCTCAACATAGGCTTGTCCCTTGGAAACATGGGCGCCATCTTCAATCAACAAATTAATCAATTTGCCGGCGGATGGACTGCGCAAAAGCGAGGGATCATTTTCCTTTTCAAAGACACATGTTTGATTACCAATTATCAGACGATAGCGATCCACTTCTTCCTTCATATAAGTGGTATACGATGCGCCTTCGAATGAAATCAAAAGACCACCATCGGACAGCCGGTGAATGTCAACTTCTTTGTAGGAGTTATTCATAAGCAGAAAATAAGAGTTTGCGCCACTTTTGGCGGCCTGCACCTTGTAGCGCAGCCCATCGTTGATCAACTCTACATCGATTACATTTGTCAGCGTGTTGGCTGCTTGGATCTGGCCTTTGTCAAGTGAAGTCTTGAAGCTGGAGAAGGCTTCGCTGATTTGACGATCGGCAATGTGCAAAGCGCCGCAAACAACACCGAGCAGTATATCGGGCTTATCCGATTGTACGCGCTCTGCAATCAATGCATCCAGCCAGGCAGTATCAATGCTGTTGTCCAAGAAACTATTGGTTTCCAACAGAGTAATCAGATATTCAACAGTAGTGCGGAAATCACCACGAATCGAAAGCTCCTTCAGCGCAATAACAAGATTCTCGCGTGCTTGTTGTCGATTTTCTCCCCAGGAGAAACAGTGCCCAAACTGCGAATCGGCATATTCGTGCAAACCACCCGATGCGGCAACACTGAAATAACCCCAGACATTTTTGCTCGAACGGAAATTTAGCTCCTGCACAGTACCCGAGCTTGGCTTGAAACCTTCATCTGGATTTTCCGATGTAATACGTGCTGCAATGACATGGCCTGATGGTTGCGGCTTATTCACCGGCGTTTCAAAATCAATAATCGATGAACCCCAAGGCGATTCTCCATACAGCAGACGTATGTCTTTCAAACGATATAGCGGCACACCCATACCAATTTGTAATTGGGCAGCCGGCAAATTCACATCTGATACCATTTCTGTGCAAGGATGCTCCACTTGCAGACGTGGATTCAATTCTAAAAAGTAGTATTGACCGTCTGGCTCGTACAAGTACTCAACAGTACCGGCACTTACATAGCCCACCATTTTCGCTAGACGCACAGCAGCTTTCTCCATATCCTCAAATACCTCCGGTTGTGCAATAATCGCCGGTGCTTCTTCAATGATCTTTTGATGACGACGCTGTATGGAGCAATCACGCCCAAATAAACTGATAGCATTGCCATACTGATCGGCAAGCAGCTGCACTTCAAGATGGCGAGCGCCGCGTGCCAGTTTCATCACGAATATAGGTGACCCGGGCACTTCAGCTTGTACTTGACGGAAAAGTGCTGGGAATTCGTCGGCAGTGTCCACGCGACGAATACCTTTACCACCACCACCTTCAGATGCTTTAATCATGGCCGGGAAGCCTGAGTTAGAAGGGAAAAGGGAGGAAATTGGTAGAGTTAATTCTCTGCATGGGTAAATAATTAACGGTACATATGTAATTGGTTTCATATCGGCGTAATCAATTCAGAAGGACTTATTTGAAATCTCTTCCAGTCAACGCAAATAATGATAGATGACGATATGCATCATTATACATACATATGTACATATATATCGTCGATGTTTTTGCAAAACCGCCCATCGCCCAATTGCAAAACCGCCTATCAAATTTTACAGGAGAGCGAAAAAACGGTTTATTCTCCGAAGGCATTGCCTTGATAGGCTGTATTTTCTCTAGCTATTATTTTACAAATCTGTTGTTTTGACAACGACTTAACGATTTTTATGCATAAATCTCGATGACTGGATTTCAGGGTTACCAAATCTAATTTTTGCCACAACGGCGATTTAGGCGGTTTTGCAACTGGTCGATGGGCGGTTTTGCAAAAACATCGACGATATGTATACTTAAAGTAGTTTAAGTGAATTTTACTAACAAAAAAAACAAAAACAAAAAATGAAACCATCATTCTCACCAATTTTCTTGGCTGCTGCTAAACCCTCTTCGGCGTTACTGACGCAACCACGTTGAAATAATTCACTCGAAATCTTTATTTTCTTTCCAGTGTACTGCGCCTTTAGCTCCGAACCCGACCAGGGCAGCGTGGGTATTTCGGCGGTCTGAGCAACAATTGAGGAAGCAACTTTATCACCAAGCGCCCACATAGCACGCTCCGGGGGGCCCAAAAAGACTAGACCTTGCTTGTGCAACATCTCCGGCAATTTCGGATTCTCGGAAGCATGACCCCAACCAGCCCATACAGCCTTGATTAAATTTGGTAAAAAAAGAGTTAAAATTACAATAATTATTTTAATAGCTTAATTAGTTGATTGATAAATTGAGTCTAGTGTGGTAACATTGACCGTGAAGGTCTTACTACGTAGAGAAAATATGTACGTATGTATGTATGTTAGAGTGATCTTATAAAGTAAACAAAAGACTGCTTGCTTTGCTTAAACAGTATAATCCGGTTGGTTATGCATTCATCAGCAGCTTGCGCGCCGATAGCTCTGAGCTTTCAATCTCTGACTGCTTCGTTGTTTTTGTATTTGTTTTATTACCTTACACAGTTAAAATCTGCGATGTGCAATCGTATGACTTCATGAAATGCAGTAAATAATGATTTTTAAGTGCATTCACTCACCTGAACCTGAGTCCGTAGTGCAATGTCAATAATCAATTCAACATTGGCGTAGTTATTATTATTGGAGCCACCAGGCACTGGAACATAATGATCAGCCATCTTGATGTATTCTGCATTGGCCTTCAGATCCTCTGGTGTGACCATCACAACAAAACGTATAGCACGTTCATTCTTGAACATTTCATAGGACCAACGACGTATCGAACGCATACACTTCACGGCAGCAATACCGTTATTGGCGATCAATATGCGATTAATAACGCGTGTACCACCAAACTTCTTGACAAACTCTTCCGGTGTGGCAATGTGAAAATCACGGTCCTGATAGCGATCCTGCCCCAGCCCAGTGCCACGCGACATGCTCGGCCTAAAACCGAAAGACAAACGATTGTGCATTATTTAATGTGTGCTTTAAGTAGTACTATGTAACTAAATGATTTGCTAGTCAAAAGGAAACTGAAAATGCAAGTGTAAATAACGAGATCTCTCGCCCAGCAAGGTGCACTCAAAATATTTAATGTACGCATATACAAATTTATGTATATATGTATGTATGTATTTACAGATGTGTGTCATATGTACATATATTGCCTAAAGAGTTTAAATACTTGCTGGCCGAATTATTGCTCCATCACCTGTGGCCAAGATGCTCTCATCGGCCGCTCAGCGATGTTGTTGTTGTAGATTAAATAGTAAATAAAAAACAAAAAAGCAACTTTACACCAAAAGAAGATATGCGCGTACCGACCGAACCAGTTTGTTGTTAATTTTGTTTGGAGAAAAAAAAGAACGTAAGCAGAAAAGAGTAAAGTCCGAAAACACAAAATTTTGGCTACGCTGCCATTAAAAGTTTGTGTTGACTTTGGTTAATCGCAAAAAGAAAACGAAAACAAATAAGGCTATGTACATATGTAAGTTGCATTCGCGTACATGATAATAGGTGCGTTCGTTTAAAATATCCAGCAGAAACCAACCAACTGCCAAATTTCGGCGAAATGTCATCTGTTCTCTCACAAGAGAGAAATATCCAAAATAGTACGCGAACAGAAAATTTGCAGAAACTTGCAAGTTAGACGAACAGCTGATATAATTTTTGTTTACATACAAAAGTGTAAAATTTAAAACGTACGAAAAGTCATCGCAAAGTGTTATACTGACACAGTTTATTGATTAAACAAATAACTACTTATTTCTTACAAGTTTAATTAGTCGCATTTTGTAATTTTTATCTTACAAACCATCAAATTCAATTTTGTGATTTGCGTAAATGCCAACCAGCTGTTTTTGATCAGCTGTTTTCCTGTTGGCAAATTGCTGTTGGCAAAAATTTTTCCAGCAGAAACCAGCAGCTTCCCCTCAAAATGAAATGTCAGTTTGCTCTCTCAATTTCCCCTACTTTGCAAGTTTTTTGCGTACGCGAACGCAAAAACTTGTAAGTTTTGGTTAAACATGAACAATTAACAGCTACGCGAACGAACCTAATTATGGATAGTTATCGAAAACTATCATCTTTTGGCATTTGCGTACGCAAAAAGTGGCAAAGTAGGGGAAATTGAGAGAACTAAAGTGACATTTCATTTTGAGGGGAATTTGCTAGTTTCCGGTGGAAAAAATTTTGCCAAGAAGAAAAAAGCTAATTAAAAACAAGTGATTGGAATTTATGCAAATCACAAAACTGAATTTGATGGTTTGGAAATTAAAAAACCTAAAATGCGACTATTTAAACTAGTAAGAAGTAAGTAGTTATTCGTTTAATCAATAAACTGAGTTAGGGTACCACTTTAAGATCAATTTTCCTACGTTTTCATTTGAATGTAAAACAAATTCTTATCAGCTGTTCATCCAATTTGCAATTTCTGGTTATTTTTCTCTAATGAGAGAGCAGATGACATTTCGCCGAAATTTTTTAGCTGGTTATTTTACCGGAGATTTTAAACGAACGTACCTATAGTTACGTAGTAATAAGCTGGCCATCAATGGCATTCAACGTACGCAAATGGTAAGCAACAGAGACAGTGTGAGGGTATTTAACAGTGATTATAAAAAGGGCCTATTCACTTTATAATTTCATTTCCACAGCGTGAGTTTTGTAGTCAGCACTTTTTAAGCTCGTAAAATTTTACTTATTTTAATTATTTTTGAGATTATGCTCAAATGTAAATGCGAGTAAATAGATAGTTGATTTTCGTCAGACGTTTTTTTTTTTTTAATTTGTAAGCTTAAAAATGTAAATGTAAACTTATTAACTACACTAAAGTAACTCGCCAACCCTTTAGAAATCAAGCAGAGATAACCAAGGTTTAACGAGAAAGCTTTTAGCAATTGTTACTATGCACAATCTATTATTTTTTTCTTTGTACATATAGCAGCGACCAGATAAAGGTAACCAACTATATTTTATTGAGGGTAAAATAGAATGTGTCTTATTAACAGGCAAGACTACTTAATATTAAATACCAAACACAATTTGCAATTCATTATTTAAAAAATGTTTTGAATTAGTACGAAATCTGAAAAAATTATATTTGTGCAACATGGCGTAGGTAACATATTTTTTCAACCAGTTTGGACCGGTACCGAACCTCTTGAAACTTTTTTTTTTAATTTTTGAACCAATTAAATATTTCCAGTCAGTGATCATAAAAATAAAAAAATATAAATAAACATATCACATTGCAATCATTTTATGCGGGAGTGGACCGGACCTTCATGATAATGCAGTAGCAAACTATCGAACTGCGTTACGTGGAAAAAATGATGGTGCATTTTATTTATAGGTGGGCTACGCAGTGTAAATATTGTAAATGTTGTAAATATTTAAAATTGCTGTACGAAAAATCTTACAGATGCTCAAATTTAGTTAAATAAAAAAAAATATGTTATTCGAATTTTAATCTATATTAAGTGTGCCCCAAGGGCGTTTCTAACAGTTGGACAGCATTGAACCATCTAAAGTTGCCTCTTCCGATTTTGTTTGGTGAAAACTTATACGAAACGAATGCGAATACACAAATTTTTAAAAATGGTTGCTTTTATCTGACCACTACTGAGCTATAGATATTCAGCCCCATTGCGCAAGTCGTAAATTAGGATAAATTGTACGACTCGACAACATTGGCATTGTCTACTGTCGTGTAGAAGTAAGTAAACGACGAAAACCGTCGAGAACTATGCTGCCAAGTTTTTCCGTTTTAATGCATTAGTCGAGTCGAAATGAGGCTGATTATTATTAATTAAGCTTTGCCATATACGATTTGTCGAGTCTTTTTCTTAAGCGATTATTTTTTATTTAGACTTTTAGCAATGAATATTTTTAAAGAGAGCAAGAAAGTCCGCTGATAATTTGAAACACGTAAAAAGTTTGGTAGAGATATTACGAAGGATTTGGACACTGGCAATAGGTGTTTTTTTTTAATAGTTCGTAATAATTTTGCGCGAATTTTATTGGATGGCCTTTTCGTATGCCTAAACTTACAAGTAGGCCAAATTGAGAAAGCAAAAATGACAGTTGAAGTTTCAAATTTTACTGGATAATTTTTTAGTAGAGCTACTTTCCAGTAAGTAAAAACCCCGGAGTATCATCCTCCGGTAAAAAATAGATAAATGACTTAAGCGTTAATTATAAAAAAATTAATCACAGTTATGCATTCACAAGGTCACAAGAATATGAGAATTCGCGCAGAGCTAAGCCGATAATCATATGGAAAAATTAGATATTGAACGGCGTTGAAAACGCTATGATCGATGGATTAAGTCTACTTTTGCAAGTAAAATGAGCACAGGGCAAATAGATTTTGCAAAAGGAGCACCGGTTTCCTTGGGCCATTTTTCAAGTTAACTATGCGTTAAGCAATTGAATATATACATACATATGTATGTATAAATAATATTGAGCTCTTTTTTACTTTCTAATCCGAGAACGCCGAGGAATATTTGAACCCAAAGGTCGAAACCTGGACGTGCGCGAAAACAGAAGGGAATTGAATTCTATAGGGAACTATTGCACTATTCTGAGTGAACAAGAAAAATGGCAAGAATAACATTTGTAGACTTGAAAGAAGAAATTTTAGAGGCGTTGAAAAATGAAATAACGGTGCAATACTAACTAACTCTTATTAACTCCGTATCGATAAGGATAGCAGCTGCTATATAGGGGTATATTAGGGAACACTCAATTTATTAGCGATTTTTTATATGAATGCTCGAATATATATTTTTTTTAAATTTGGAATTGGAAGTATTTTATATACGTATATGGAATGAATAGTTACAATAATTTTAATTGTAAATCGACCAAAATTAACACACTGTGCCTTTTATTGACGCCGATTGTTCACACATATCCATACATACATACATTGCGTATCTACCCAGTCGGACCGTGCAGAATGTGGTTCCGAAAATAATGCCCTTTTAGGTACTAATTTCTTCATAAGAAATTTGAAGTACATTTAATTTTTGTATGAAAGTTAGTAAATATCTGAGTGAAAAAGTATCACATCCTTTTTTTTCACCAAAAGTCTGTAGGTCATGAAAACTTCACAACTAAAGTCAGCATTTTTTAGTGCTTTGACTTCGGTAACTAAATCGGAACAAGAATAAAAACAAAGCTCTCCAAACCAACAACAATCACCCCATGCAAAATTGCCTTCTTAAAGAACCGTTCTTGCTGTGCTTCACGTCTGTATAAAAGCAAATTAGAGAACTTATGTTTTTGGAATTACTTCGAAGTGGAAAAATAACCGTGCTATAAGTACATTTTGGAAGCAACCAAGTCCGACTGGGTAAATGTGACACCTATGTATGTGGTGTTATATGTTCGATATGTCCACAAAATTACAAAATCAACCAATCGATGAGTAACAATTTTGACGCAGTGATTACTTTATAGTCCTCGGTTCCTCCGCCAAGAATAAACTCGTTTCAGATAAGTTACAGCTCAATGTCATGCCATTATTGTTGTTAGCAACGTCGGCGGCATTAACATAGACGGAATCACACTCAATTTCAATGTCAGGTATTCTCGATTCGTCTTCATTGTTTTCATCATCTATCAATATGATGGGAACTGGAGTTTTTGGACGCTCTGGTATCTCCGAAACGGACTCATCCTCGTTTGGTTCACCGATGGTGAAACGTCTGGTTGATTTAAGCATTTCAAATAGCCACTTTAGGAGAGTCAATGACATTCAAAATCACAATAAGCTCATATACATACGAGCTTATTAAATAAACCACACTAATTGCAATTTAACCGGAAAACGGGATTTTTAACACTTTGATGTTTGGCCACTTTTTCATGTATGAATGTTTTTTGCTTAGTCCTTATTTTGCCACGAATAACGCGCTCTATATAAAATTCTACTATTGCGATATATGCCAGCAGGTGGACAGTAGTTTTTCAGTACAAAAAAATGCTAAACTACACTTCACGAAGTGCCAAGAGTAACTGGCAATGTCGATATCGTCGTTACTGGTGTATAATTTCGTTGAATTCGAATATGTATGTACGAATGATTTAAGCACGTTTCAGCAAAAATTCTCACTGTAATTTTTTCTATATTATTTGTTAGCATTTTACATAGCAACTATTGCTGCGCGAGGTGAAAATAGTTGTGGTGCGCCCCAATCAGCTGTAGTGTTTACACTTATTTTATATAGTGATGTATGTACATATGTTTATACATATATACGTATTTGCACATATGTACGTAATATTGTATTTAAAAGCAAGTGCAAAGAATTTTGTTGGAATCACCTGTGGCGATACGTCAGTATTGAAATTGGCCCCCTAGTCAAGCCGGTAGTTAAGCGTATCCATCGCATATTTATATTTTGACCGCTCCCGCATTTACATTATCAATAGGCACTTCCAATTTTGCGTTTACTTTCTTGTGAGCGGAAGCAAACACGTAACACAGCAGATAAAATGGCAAAATATAAATAAAAATATTGACAGCATATACAGATGACAGACATCAGGCGATGGGGCACAGCGAACTAGGTAGGTACTCTGTGCATGAGAAATCGGTGCACTGCTGTTTGTTCTTTTTGCGCGCTGTTCGGCTATTCTCACAGTATTGAACGAAATATTCTTTTTCTACCCCACTGCTTGCACCCGCACTAGATGCCTATTACTCTGCTGTTAGCCCACTCACTGCCGCCAGTCTTGTCGGCGCAATTTTATGTTTTCGTTTAATTGCGTTTTTTTCCTCTTTCTTAAATTCTTTAATATTTTTCTACGCACTCTCTCCGAGAATTCTCTGCGCTGAGATATTATACAAATGTATGTCGTCGTTTAAAGTACAAAAGCGCGTATCGTCATTCTGCAAAACCGCGTAACTAAAAAATTGGATTTGCTCACACAAACTCTTGGCTCAATCCTTATCCATTCGTCCTAGCAGTGTTGCCGTTGTGGTTACTTTTAACCAATTTTGGTTATTTTTTTCTAGCCTGTGGAGTTGTTAAGATCTTTCACGTTTGGGTTATTTTTTAATATTTACTGTAGTTTTTAATTGACATAGGCCAGCTACACCTGTCGACGTTGCGGAGAGTAGCAACAGCAGTGGCAGTCCCAGCAGTGAAACCAAGTAAGAATATTTGGAATGAATGTATTAAAATTACTTACATATGTATGTATGTATTTGTTTTATAATATACAGAATACATAATATACATGGTCGGCTAAAGACTACTTCCAATGAATACATACTTAGATAGTACATGAAAAAGGGATTTGGTTATTCTTTTTCCATTACTGTTTACTTTATTAATTTAAGTTAAGATTAATAATAATAATCTTATAGCAAGTAGGTCCAGTGAAAATACCATTCCACAGTTTTTAAAAAATCCGTTTTTTGCGCTTTTGTAAAATTTATTTACCATCGTATACGCGGTACTACATTTGGCGTATACGAGGTATTTCGCGCTGAGCGACGATATAGTTCAATAAGTCCAATTTTTAATTGTTTAGTCTTAATCTTAAAATATATACAATGTGGTTGTTCACGCTGATTAGGTATTTCATTGTTTCTTACAAAGAAGTTGGAAACTGTGTACCTACATACATATGTACTTATTTAAAACGTCATTTAGAGTCAGGTAATGTTTACGAAGATGTTAACATTCATACATATGCGTGTAATACGGGAAGACTGATTTTCCAAAATATATACTTACATATTACAGCCTTGAAAGGATCTACTTTCCAAAATGCAAATAAATGATTTTATTTGGCTTGTAAACTTTTTCTATACGTATTATATAAAAGAAATTGCGACGACCTGAATTGTTAATCTAATAAAAAAAAGGTTGGTTATTTTTCTTTACATTTGGTAACTTTTTCGTCTAATCTTGGTGGGAAAGCAACAATTTATATTGAGCTCGAGGCCGTTTTAAATGAAAATTTTTATTGTGGAAAAGCAACAATAATTTGAAAAAATGGTAGAAGTGATAGCTATTTCGGAAATCAACACATTTCCTCATCAGACTTCTTTCAGTAGGATTCGAACCGACGATCCCACTGACTCAGCCAGTGGGAAAGTTCTTTGAGCGACGACGGCAACACTGCGTCCTAGCCATAAATGCTATTGCTTTATAAAAAAGAGAACCATTTTGAAATATGAGTGTTTTTGCTCACATATGGACGCGGTTTTGGATTTTGTTGATAGGCGGTTTTGTACTTTAAACGACGATATACTCAGACATACTTATGTATGTATGTATATGCATACATTACATATGTGCGCTGTTATCACTTTTCAAGACATGAGATAAGTTTATATATATGTATATATCAAGCTTAACTGATTTACTGCCATGTGGTCGAAGTGAGGCATGACAATAGGTTGAGGGGTCCTGGGTTAGACTTGTGAGATATAGAATAACTTGGTAGAAAAATAGTAATTTTTTTTTAACTTTATAACTAACCAAAGCGGAAAACACAACGCAGAGGGGTGTTTGAGGCACAAATGCGGTCAAGTATTAGGTTTAGGTTATTCTCATAAATGCTAACACATATGTACATATTATAAATTAGTTTTTTTTTTTTATTAATGTTGCACAAGAAACTCCAGTTTTTTCTAATAGAATTGCATTCCTTTCCCCGAGCGGTTTGCTTGCTCACCTGATGCCAAACCCATTTATAATCATCCGGAATTGATGGTCCAAAGTTTGGACTCCAAACAGTTTACAAAAATTTTGCCTATTTAACTCTGTTCCGGTATTGAAGCCTTTAGATTCAGTAACCCAGAAATGCATCGTGTTTATAGTAATTCGGTGTCAAACGTTTAGCTGTTCATCATCGAGCAAAGCGTCGATAACAAACGTGCATGTTTCAATAGGAGCGCGCATAGTGAAGAGGAAAGCGTCATGACGCGTCAGCTACATATCGTCGTTTAAAGTACAAAACCGCGTATGTGAGGTTGCATAAATTATTTTGTAGAGTGTAAAAACTCTCATATTTCAAAACGGTTCTCTAGTTTATAAAGCAACCGCATTTATGGTTAGTATATTTCAGGACGAATGGATAAGGATTGAGCCAAGAGCTTGTGTGAGCAAATCTAATTTTTGGCAGCAAAAGTCAGTTACGTGGTTATGCAGAATGATGATGAGCGGTTTTGTACTTTAAACGACGATATGCTCTCCGTTTTGTCCGCCGCTCCACTATGTGCTTACCCTTAAAGCAGAGTCACATGATTTATCCCAATTAAGAAAAACAATTTGTTAATTTGTATTGTACTAATCGTGGGACCCAAAAAAAAAAAAAAATTTTCCCAATTTATTTATTTTGTACCAATAGCCCAATATCATAAGTTAATATGTAGTACAAAAATATTTTTAAGACAAGCTAACGAACGAAATCGGACCATAAATACCGGTTTATCAAATATCACGATTCCTGCGCCGCCTATCGGCAAAAATTTTGTATGGAGTTATTCGTTTTCATTTAATTAATATACGTTCTAAATATGAACCAAATCGAGTTATATATATATATATTTTTATCAAAAAATATTGAAAATAAATTAGAATAAAAAACTTTGCATATATTGCGAAAAATTCTCTGTGCCATTACTTTTGTCCGGCACTGTATATGGAAATGAAATAATGTGTGTGCTAACTTTACATAATTAGAAGAACTTCCCAGGATATCTCATTGTTATAAAGTATTATTCCGGCATGGATTACAGCTGTTATGAGTCGTGTCGAGCACACTAAATAGTGATTAATATTTTAATTGTATGTACTTTATTTTATTTTACCGTTTCCAATGCTGTTGCACAAATCTTTTAGAAATAATCGTATATGGGACTATCTTTTGTGATTGGCATATAATTTTTATTGTAATTACTTATTTATATGCCTCATTTAACTTTTTTCTCAGTAAAATAGTGTTGGTTACCATTATCTGGCTACTACTGTACAAAAATTCATCAACAATTTTGATTTAATTGGAATGGTCTTGTGAAACCTTGCAAAATCTCGTTTCGTGTCAAATTTGCTATTAAAAAAAAAACGCATCAAAAGACTATAGCAAAGTGCAGCCATGACCGCCGTATCTGGAGATCTGTTCTGCATTTGTAACTAAAATCAAGCGCCATTGAATGTTAAATACACCACAGCAGCCAAGTGATGTGATTATAGGAGCGTAAAACATAGGTTTCGACACCTGGTTCGAGCAACATCTAAAAATATCAAAAGTTGTTTCTAACTGCGGCAGGTTACATACATATATGGCAAACCTTCGAGTGTATTTCTGTTATCCAAAAGATTCTCATAAAATATTGGCCGTTAGGAAGTGGGTTAAAATTATAGGTCCCTAATGTCATTTAGGGTAAAAAAAGCTCAGTAACTACAGCCAAATAATAGGTAGTTTAAAGTTCAGATTCTAACTAAACGAACAAAATGCTATATTGTGCAAGTTTAAATTAACTCAAAATCTCGTTGATTTTTGAGAATTTCTTTAGTTAGTGGTCTTGCTCCCACACAAAAAAAAAAAGTTTAACATACTTTTTATGGAAGAAATCGCTTAACATAGTCAGCGAAAAAAGTTCTAGAAAATCAACGATATTTGTGAGCTAATTCAAACTTGCACAATTTTACTTTAAAATTGAATGGGCTATAAAACTGCATACTCCAATTATTTCTATAAATTCCAATTAAAAAGTTTAAAATTTTGATGTTCATTTTTCGAACTTTGTCAAATTATTATAAATGTTATACCTTGTTTATACCGACACATAAAGCGCTTTAGACTCAGTTCGCTGTGATTCAAAACGGATGCATAGAATTTCAATACGGGTTGAAATTGAAAAGTGTATTGACTTGAATTTGTTTTCCAATCCGTTTTTTATTTCTCACACCGGTTAGAAAACCCGTATAAACGAATAATTAATTTAACGCAAAATCAAAATTGGCTCGTTTTCTTTATACAGCCCGTTTTAATTGAAGTTATTATTATAACAAAATTTGTATTGCTGTTCGATTCCATTTCGGTCAACTGCGCAAGTTTATTATTAAACAAATGTGGAATAAAACCAATAGAATTTGTTTACTTTTCAATACGGTTTCATGGACTAAGGAATAAACGTTTGAAAGAAGTATGTGCTGAATCCAATCGGTTTTTTGTTAATACGTTTTTTTCGTAGGTATA